CGACAACGACTTCACCAATTTCACTTTGCAATATTTTTTTTAATCTCCACCCAGCGAAATAATTGTAGCACCAACATAAACAATTAGGGTAATCACAAGGTTTCATATTGTGTCATATCGTCACATTGTCTTATTTTTTTATGACTGTCATATCAATACTGTTGCTGTTTCCCATGCAAAATTGAAATAGGACAAATACAGCACGGCGAGGTATGTTTTTTGAGTGTGCTATTCTATCAGCTGTATCTGTTTACTTATTTATTGTTGACGTTTAGGTGTCAAAAGATAATAAATTAAATCAATTTCATCAATTTCTTTAATAATATGGAAGGAAGCCACGATATTCAGGTAAATTAAGTTGAAGAAAAGTGAAATATAAAAATACTTTGTTGTTTCTGTGGTTGGAAATGATTATATTGCAGTGTAAACTAAAACACCGCCGTTTCAACACATAGAAAGTTTTCACATAAAGAAGCCTTAATTATATTTTTGTCACTTTCTCATGACATTTTTGTTTTTGTATTCTTAATTATTCAATACCAGTTGGTGAAATGTAGAAATTTATACGACGAGAAAACGTTTAAGGGGTGCTCACAAGCGTTATATTTATTAAGACTATTGAAATACGACATAAGGCATAAGACAAAGCTTGTGAATTGCCTACATATAATTTTAACTATACGAATGGGGAAACGACACATTAGAAATATGTGCACGAGGTAGTGATATCTGTATCTGATAACTGTATTTATTTAAAGCTAACTCCGACCTTTTATTGGAATATTAGCTACTTGTGCATCAACAGACCAAATATTTGTAGGGTGATCAATTTCGAGGTTTCTTAAGTTTTTTAAGAAAAAACAAGGACAGAAAATTCAAATTATTATATTGTATTATTATCATTCGAAAGAGGCGAATTTTCGATGACTCGTTCTGGTAACTGGCGAATGACACGCGTGATGTTTTGCTACAAGGCCTCAATCGAAGCGGGATTGTCCGCAGAGACTTTAGACTTTACATATCCCTACAGGAAAAAGTCTAACGGTGTGATATCACACGATCTTGGTGGCCAATCGACCGGCCCAAAATATGAAATTATCTGCTCACTGAAGTGTTCTCTCAATAAATCTATTGATTGATGTGATGTGTGGGAAGTGACGGCATCTTGTTGAAACCAAATGTACTTTTTCACCGGCATCAGTTTTGAAGAAATATGTTGAAAAAAGTACCTCTACTTGGATCACCCGTTATAATATCAAACAGAGCTATTTAAAGTTAAAACATTGTTTATAATTAAATTTTTTAGCGGAGTTGAAGAAACCTTGATGCAAGGTATATCCGTGAAATAAAGTGGTTAGCCAATTAATCAAATAGTTCCGCACAAGTTTTGCAAAGCCTTTATTTAGAAGTATCGAAGCGTCGAATTCAGCAATTTTAGGGGCTGACTCCAAACTGAAATATACAAAGCGAGTCTCTAATCTAAAGTTGACGCTGCGGTACAATAAACCAGATTGACATTTGCTGAAATATACCAATTCTGGGAGGAAGAGTTGGAAGAGGTAATATTTTCTGAAGAGAAAAAAATGTATTTGGATTGTTCAGATTATTTCCAAATGTATTGAATATTCAGCACAATAATGCGGCAGTTCGTACACCAAAGGCAACATCAAAGGCGATCAAATAATTTACCCATCCTGGAATGGCCCGCTTGCACTCTAGACCTCAATCCAATTGAGAATGTTTGGCAATTCTTTCTCAATCTGTTTTTAAGAACGAGAGGCAGTTTGATTGTGTCAAAAGTCTCAAAAATGTAATTTATCAAGAATAGATTAAAAATGATCAAAAAACAATGTATATTAATTTGCTCAATGCCTCTAAGACTATAGCAAGTCATAATAAAAACATGATTTAATACCAATTATTAATACACTTTTTTTCATATGTATAATTTTTTTCGAATTTCACAAAAATTTCTGTAAAAAAATATTTTTTTCTTCGTATACATATTATATATAGTTATTTATTATAAATTAAATAACTCAACATTTACGTTACGCCAAATTCTATATCGCGGTATAGTAGACTGACGTATGTTCTCAGCAATTGTTTTTCACCTTTCATCTATTTTGTACCTAACGAATGCTTATCCAAAATCAAATTGTTCACTTAATAATAGCTTTAAAACTATTGCTTAATTGTCCTTGTTATATTAAAAAAAAGTTTTATAAAAGTGGTTTATACTCTCGCAACATGTTGCTACAGAGTATACAAGTGACTCTCTGTCCGTTCTTTCCGTTTGTCTGTCCATGCTGATAAACTGGGTACACGTGTTTCTTGGCCAAAAATTTAGGTTCACAGATGGGTGTAATCACGACCACAAAACGCCTTTAAACGAACACTTATAAAGTGTCATAACTAAGAACTAAATAAAGACACATAACTGTAATTTAGTACATATGATTTTAGAAACGGGGCACACTTGTTGGCAAAATTGGCGTGTCCCCGCCCTTTAAATGTTTAATGTAAATATTTTTTAAGCCGCTGAATATAACTCTATCGAACTTGCTGAGAAGAAATCTGTTAGGCACTTCTTTATACGGTATGAAAATGCGTAATAACCACGCCCACTCCCCATATAACGGTCATGTTGAAAGCTACTAAAAGCGCGATAATGAGTCCTAGTCATTAAACTTCAGACCATGATGGTAAAGAAATCAGATGATAACTACGCCTACTTTCCATATAACACATTTTTAAATTACTTTTGATGCTTTCACTTTACAGTATTTAAATCAAATATCAATGAAGTAATCAAAACAAAACTTTGTACGAAATATGCCCTCAAGGTATATCATCTTACGCCCAAAAATTCTCGAGTTCGAGCTGTCAATTCTTAATGACCCATGTACCAAATATCGGGAAACCAGTGCATTTGGCTGAGTTTTTACTAAAAATATCGGCCAATCAGTGAGGCCTAGTAATGAATGCAATTCTTCGTACTTTAACTAAAATATTTACGAAGTTCCTATATATCACTTTACTTTGCGAGAGTATAAAATTTTCGGTTCCACCCGAACTTTACCCTTCCTTACTTGTTTGATTTAGTTGAAATCAACAATAAACTTTTATATTGATTACAAAATTGTTTTATCTCCGCTTCAACCGGTTTTTATATTTGCACCGAAATTATGTAAATATTCACCATTTATTTGCGTATTGTTGTTTACCTATCGATGATGTACAGTAATATTCAATAAATTTGGCAGATGGAGATAAAATGTATTGTCGCAATTACGCGTTCACCTTAAATCAATGCTCGGAAAATTTAATGTTTATTTATTAAATGATGCGTGCAATATTTGCATATTTCCCACGTGTGTGTGCAAATAATAGCATTTTGATCTGTATCATTTGCAAATGCTTATTTACTTTAGATGTAGTTGTACTAATTTAGTATAATTCCCTAGGAAAAAACAATTTATTCTTGTTTTTTTCTGAAAAAGATAGTTTACGTGCATCAGCAATAGTTATGGTTTGCAAGTTTGTTATATAATTGCAGGTCAAACTCATATTTGACTTTTACGTCAGTATACTTTGGAAAATTGCTTTACAAAGCTTATGAAAAGAATATTGTCTAGCAAATTTTTTCCAGAATTCGTGTTCCGTGTAGAGAACATCTTTTCCATGAAATAATATTTACTGATCAAGCATAATTATGGCGTGTTTTGAAGGCACACTATTCTTAGGAGGCTAAACAGGCTCTCATGCAGCCAATGTTACCATCAGTGATGCCTACTAAAAGCATAAATGATTTAATTCACGACTTTTTGATTTAGTTTTTCAATTTTAATACGTCTTAGTTCGAAACAGGGCGGTGCAACTAGCCATAGAGCGCTAGAAACCATCAAATGATGGACCTATACATAAGCCACCTACATACTTCATCAGGTAATTTGACAACAGTTGACTACTTTTGACCGAGGCACGTTAAGTCCGTCCTCTACGTTGATTTACTAGCTGCATCGTATCAGTTTAAAACCAATATTCTTAATGTTGTTGATGACAAAAGGAAAATGTGGAGCAAAATTTTAATGACAAGAGGTTATTTATATTGTATGATGTTGTCGATATATAGTGACCCTCAGACCATAATCAACCACAAAATATGCGAACTAGTAAAACTTAACTCTGCATTTGGGATAAGTATTAGATAATTTTCAAAGTAATAACATAGGAGCCCTTAAAGAGGTCACCTAGTCAAACATCTAGGGATCAATAAATAGGGCAATAGAATCTCGCGTTCCGGAATAATGGTCCATTAAAAGAGATAAAAAATTCGAGAACTATTAAAGCAACGGCAAAGAGTTATACAAGTAGGCTATAAGACAAGATTTCTCTGAATTGAACTCAATATGAATTAATTGCTATTGCAATTCTGTAATGATTGAAACTTGAATATTTTTAGATAAATGGTAGTTTAGTTGTATAGTATTTTTAAGTTCGTTGCTTTTCGATTGAAGCAATTGCGAAGCATGAGTATTGCCCGACTTGCAAACTGGTCTCAAGGTCTTTATCTTGTACTTTACTCTCGGTGGCAGAGAACAAAAAGCAGTCATTTTCTTTTTGTTTCTATGAACTTCACCGGGCACTTGCGGCAAATACATGACATATTTATGTTTTCTGACTGAGCCTTTTGCGTTTTTTTAATTGAAATGCCAAATAGCTTAGAATGCAAAACATTTACTGATCAGTTTGAGTTAATTTTTTAAATAACAAAAAAACTTTTTTGTTAACCGAAATCTTTTGTTCCATTAATTATACACTAGTTACAGTTGTCTTATACTGAATCCATAAATAACTGCAACTACTATATAAATACATTTTTACTTTTCTTGCTGTTGCGAAATTCTATCACCAATTTCTGCATACTCACTTTACTCACACTTATCCATCTTTTCTTCTCCTTGCTGCCATCTTCTCGGCGCTCGTTTCATTTGCAGATTACACACAAAGTTTGCGGCTGGTCGAAGTGCGAATACCAAATTACGTGGTTAAGGGCTCATCAGCACAACTGGAATGCCTCTATGATTTGGACGGCGAGTCGCTGTACTCGGTGAAGTGGTACAAGGACGGCAACGAATTCTATCGATACGTGCCACGAGACATGCCACCAGCACAAACGTTTCTGCTGCCAGGTGTAGCAGTTGAGGTGAGTGAAAAATAGCAGCAGTCGTAACGGCACTTACAGGCGCATACGTGCGCGTACCTATGCGCGCGTGAATACGTGCGTTTGGTTGCGTGTATTCGTGTACAGTTAAGTGCAGCACAAAAGCAGCACACGACTTCTCGCCGAAATTTAAACTCACTCACACAAAATCATAAATTCACGCGTTACCAAGCCTTCATTCAAGTTGTGTGGGTGTGTAAGTGGTAGAGTTCGAGGCATTGTGCTAGGCGACATGTCTAACAGCGATTGCACGATCATCGATTGTATGCAAAACTTTTGTGTATAAATTTCAGGCATGTTTGCATTGCACCTGCGTTCCTCAAGACAGCCGGGTGTGTTAGCTGCCTTGGTATTTGTGTGCCGTGTAAGTGTTTTGTGTGCGCGCTCGTAGCACAAAAAGCGAAAGTGCAAGCAAATAAGTTTTGCTTTCTGCTTGTTTTATTCCACTTTTTTGTTGGCAAGGGATCCGAGAGCGCTTCTGAGGTGAACATAATGTAGCACAGCGTGTGCATACTCGTTTCTTAGTCAATGAGGTGTAGGGGAAACTTTGCGCTTTTTGTGCGCGCACAGCCAACTGAAAGCGATAAATTTCGGCAAAAGCGAAGCGCAAACGTGGGTGCCAAAGAGATAAAAAAGTGTAAAGAGCGTAATTTGGCAGGCAATTGGTGGTCGCTTTTAGTAGTTGCCTTGTTGTAGTAAAACGTGAAGTTGTGGGCGGGAGGGGATACATGCGGCAGTGACTTTAGATAAACTGCAACGCAATTCCGGCAAAGAGAGCAGAGAGAGTGGGTAGGTAGGTAAACATGCGCTTGCAGCTTGAAACTTTGCACACACAATTACATGAGCTCACCTGCAACTACTTCGGATGTAAAGTAAATGTGGTTGTAAGTCAGCTTCTATACACAGAATATTTGGCAAAAAGTTCACTGGCGCTCCAAGTAATTCTGTAATATTTGCATATATGCTTTCAAGAAATAGAAATCGAAAAATGTTTGCCAAGTTCCGTTATAAAAATGTACATTGCATACGTGCCACAAGCTGCATGCTTATATGAACAACTACATATACCATACACTATTATAAGGCTGCAACCGTGTGGTTAAAGTTCAACGCATTTCAGTCGTAACATAGTTTGTTAGCCGACTTCACTTTCAAGTAAAATAGTAATAAATTTTCTGATTGCGGTGCATGGACTTCAAAGTGGGCAAGTCGTGTTTTTGCAACGTTCGATGTATGAAATATATATAAATAAAAGCAGCGGAGTAGCAGTAGTATATACAAAACAACTAAATCGCGCTCTAATAGATCAGCACACAAAATACTATGTAAACATAATAAAACTTTCCGCAGTAGCCACACACAAGCTTATACGTTCAAATACACATACATACAGTCGTGGACATAGAAATGATCTAAAGTCGTGACTTTTTTCTCTCAAAATAAAATTCGAATATATAGTACATATAATACACATTTCAAGGGCATAAGAAAGAAACTACAACAAATTCATTTTAAAATAAAATATATGTTAAAAATTAACTTAACAAAAAGAAAAAGATTAATTGAATAATGTTGAAATGAATTATAAATGTTTTATGCTATAAAAATACTTACCTATACTATACTTATTACAGAACACATTATCTATTACAATAATCCTTTACAATGAATTAACGAAACTGTTGAAATATACTTATACTTACTCTTTTTCTAATACATACTTACCCCTAGTTTAAGCCGTTAGGTTAAGGTTTAGGCTAAGTTATAATATACTTAAAATAAAGAATGCTATTGTAATATAACCACACTCGCGAACGCACGTCTTTGACTTAACCGGATATTTTCATTTCATTTAGGCACACGCAATCGGAATTTTTTATTTAAATTGCGCATTCCAACATTTTATTTCATCTCAAAAAGGTTTGAGATTTTTCAGGTTTTGTCTCTACAAAACTCAAACTACCAAAATTTCGATAACTCTCTGAAGTATAAGGTGGAACATATCAAATTTAGGCATCAGTCTTGCATACAAATCAGTTAAAATATCTGTTCAAGTAAGTTCTGTGTAGGATCTCAGAATTCCCATAGCTAATTTGAATCAAATTATATACGACAATCCAGAAATATATAGAATTTCATTGTATATATTTTAAAACGGCTCATTTGCAGCCTTGCCATATCATCTTTACTGCAAATTTAAATGATTTTCATATTTTGCGTTAGCGCAGTTTTGGTAGTTTTGAATATATATATTTTGTTTTCTATAAAGTCGGCGTGATAGATATTCGATTTCGCCTAAGTTCTTTGAATGAGTCTTAAAAATTTGTGAGATACAAACTTTAAACTTATTAGTGGGCTGGGTCGCACACACTTGTTTAAAAAGTTTTAAATACAACTGATTTTCTCTTGTACCGAATTTAAATTTTTTTCATAATTTTTATTTTAGCTGTAGCAGCATATAGTTTTTCGCTTAACGGCATTTTATGGGCGTATCAATGGTCCGACTTCGCCCATTTGCAATACCAACCTCACTATTCCAAGGAATACCTGCAGAACCATATCAACATATATTAATTTTATGTACACAATTCAATGCGCAGACAGACAGACAAACAGATTTCAACTCAACTGGTATTATAATTTGTGTAAAATACTGCATAAAAATTGGAATGTCTAGAATATTTGCAAATTTATTACTATTATTCGGTAAATAATATATTTTTAACCAAAGCAAATTCCTTTATAATATCAACAGATTAAAATTAATAATGTTAAGATACATCGAATTAACCTCCTCAACATCAACCATCTAGTGATTTATCTTCTTCTATTTCATTTCGGCTTTGTATCTCCGTAGACTCCATTTAGCTGGCTGCAAAATAGAAGATGGGACACTTGTATTAACAATTTCCATCCACCACCAAGCATCTTTATAAAATCTTGCACAATAACTATTGTCATCATCACGGTTATATGTTACGATGTAATTGTTTTTCCGCAACGATAACTTTAGGAATCGCCTGTATTGCCGCTAAAAACACCCAATTTCTTTGAAGCGTAGCCCTCTGACTCGGAACCAATAAGAAACTCTGAATATTTTGCATAGTATTCTGTACCATTACGTCTATTCATTTGAATACACAACTCCTGTTCAAAGCTGCTAGTGAGCGCGTGTAATTTTTCTAACATCCTTCCTTATAGGCATGCCAATCTCTTTAAAAATCTAGTGTACCATTTTGACGCCGTTGAATGACCGTTCATCTTCCAAAATCCACTTTTTCTTCACAAAACACCTCGACCTAATAGGATTTTGTAAATACTACTCTTCAAGCTGCAAATCTTGCACAACTTCGACGAGACCATCAGTAAGAACTTCTATTTGCACAACACATGTTTGCGATTGCAACATTTTACTAGTCTAATTATATTGGCCGAAGCAAAATCTGATTTGGATAATTAAAATAAAATACAGAAAAATAACGAAATCATTCCATGAATTCCGCGAACAGTTTGGATGCTGAACTAAAACTGACACTACCTGAATAATGGATTTAAGTAAAATAATCTACATAGCTAATGTTGTATTGAAAAAATATGTTTCAAGCACTGCTTATCAGAATTTCATTAAAAAGAGTTTAGATCAGCAATGCATTTACAGCCCTATAAGGTAACTGCCCTCAAGTAGTAAGTATATGACAATGATGTAAGAAGAAATAAAGGCTTTCTCTCTCAGATACATTCCAACGTTGCCAAAAACCATGTTAGATATTACAACCTAATTTAAAAATTCAAACTTCCGGTTGGCTTTATACCGTATATATTAGAAAATATACACGTTTAAACAAAATACTTGTATTTTATATCATAGGGTACTGCCAAAAATGGGCAAATTGGTCTAAGAATTACCCACCCCCCATATAACACCTAAATCTAATAAGGTTCCTTATTCTATGAAAATTTATGTTTAATATGTCGGCCAATGTGAGAGTTATCTAAAAAAAGCGTATATATATCATTAGCAAATAGTACTGCATTTCAGTTCTTTCCTCATATTCCAGTGAGTCGCATTTTTTTTGCAGTGTATAGTATAAGAATTACTCATGAAATAAAAGTAATCCTTGTTACGCATGATACTTATAAATACACAACTTTCGCAATAAATGCTTGAAATCGGTCAATGCCTTTCTTTAGTCCCTATGTTCTATTCTATTCCTTAATCAATCTTCAATCAATTTTTAAATCAATGTATTTGTCATAGATGTAAAGGCGAATACAGTGTAATATATTATATATACCATACATTACATATATACTTGTAAGCTACAATGAATTAAACAATTATTTTGTTCAGAGAATATACTAATTTAAAAATAAAAAACTTTTCAATTCTTCAAATATATAGGGTTTGAGGTCACTAGTTGTATCATAAGCTTAAGACAAACAAGTAAGGAAGTTCTAAGTTCGGGTGTAACCGAACATTTTACACTCTCGAAACTTGCAAGGTACAAAGTCCGGGAAATTACTTCAGGTGTTGGCAAAATTTTATATTAAAGGAAGTATTGATCCGATTCAACCCATTTTTGACACAAAGACATACAAGTACTGTTATCAAAAGTTTCATTTATTTATTTATTATTTTATTATATGAATTTCAATTATATATCTTACACATTGACCGATATTTTCAAGTTAAAAGTACTGAATAGTTTTGGTTCGATTTAGACATACCTTGGTCACAAGGTGGCATACTTTAAACGCATTGTTCACGCAAAGTTTTACCCCGATAAATCATTGTTGCTTGATTTGCATAGTGGAAAGTGAAAAAATCAGCTTGAATTTAAAATGGTGTTATATGGGAAATAGGCGTCGATGTAATCTAATTTCGCCCACAACATAGAAATATGAGAGGAATGTTATGTGCCGAATTTGGTTGAAATCGGTTAAGCGGATTCCAAGATATGGGTTTTCGCCTTAAAGTGGGCGCTGCCACGCGGTTCCTATAAAGTCATCTCATACCCCCGCTTTTAATAGTTTTTAACAGTGCCGTTATATGGGGAGTAGGCGGGATTGTCACCCATTTTCACACTGTCGATACAGGTGCTAAAAATATTTGTTCTCTGTGAATTTTGTTATTAAAGCTTTAGCGGTTTAGGAGATATGCATATTAAAGGGAGGGACCACGCCTACTTTAAAAAAAAAATTTAACAATATGATCCTGCATACCAAATAACAGTAATGTATCTTATTATGGTCCGATTACGCCCATATGCAATACCAACCGTCTTACAGTACCAAGAAACATGTGTTTCCAAGTTTCATAAAGATATCTCAATTTTTACTGAAGTTACAGCTTGCACAGACAGAAGGACAGTCACCCGGATTTCAACTCGTCTTTTCATCCTGATCATTTGCATATACATAACCCTATATCTAACTCGATTAGTTTTAGGTGATACAAACAACCGTTAGATGAACAAAACTATTATACTCTGTAGCAACAGGTTGCGTGAGTTTAAAAAAGAGAAAAATGTTAGGTACTTTTGGTAAAAATTTCAATACTGCGTTTTAATCGCTTTCGTAGTTACAAGGGGAGCCAATTTAGTACAAGGTTAGGAACGCAGGATTTTAATTTAAGAAGTCATTCGTTTGGGATCTTTATATCTTTATTGTTTCAATCGGTCAAATTCTACTACAAACTGCTTAAAACTATCTGACTATTATTATTTAAGAACATTTACTTTTTTGTTCGAATAATATCGCAATTAAACCTTTTTCTGACATTTCAGAAATTCAGTACGCTAGATCTAGAAGCTCGTACTGAGCTGAAATCATATTTGCCTCCTCCTAATTTTCACGCATTAACTCAAAAATCTCAAGGCTGCATAACTGGTACTACAACTTGATTCACTTCTTCTTAGAATGCAATTGTAAAAAAGTAAAATGTAAAAGTGACACCTTTATCAATGTAGGATGGAATGTTATATCTTTCTGAGCAAAAAGAAGCCGATTGAGCAATTAGCCATAGCTTTTGGAGATTTTACCTTCATAAAATATAAAGTGAGAATGTTATTCTGGGACACAAGACTTGTCCGTGTCAAAATCTAAAATTTTAGAAAACGAACATTTAAGACATCATATAATTTCACCGCTACGATTTTTGACGACTACATTTTCATGCTCACAACTGTGAGCTGCCATGTTTATATCAAAAGGACGTTTTCACTGTTTTTGTAAAGTTTAGTCAGCAAGCTAAATTTCACATGCGGGCAATTTGGAACTTATTTTGCATTAGCTACCCAACCAAAGTTACTTATACGCCCGTTTCCTGTGGTAGCGTTAATACAAAATTTTCATGTATATTTTGACAACTGTATATTAACAGCTTTTATGTATTGATGATATTTTTTTTCTGCATACATATGTTTATTTAATTTTCAATGAAATTTACTTGGATTTTTCAGCTTCACAATTCCAGCGATGCCATAGTTACGCTACATAATGTCAACCTACAGTCGGCGGGTCGTTTCCGCTGCGAAGTTTCCGGCGAGGCGCCTTCTTTTCAGACAGTCACTGAACATGGTGATATGGTTGTGGTCTGTAAGTACAAATGATTTGAAAAATACTATTATATACTAAATATTTTCCATAATTTATATAAAACATTTTGTGGTAAATGGGATAGTTAAGATGCTGATGATTTAAGTAGATATAGTTTCAAAATAACTTAATGTAAGTAAACTTCTTATATCTTTTAAAAAGCTGATCGGAATATTTTTTCATTGAATAATATCAAGTTAAACGTCCTAATAAATATTCAATGTTATTTATTACGTTTCTCTGAATTCATAAAACTATTTTTATCATCGCGCAATTTGTCCTGATATTTTTAACCTTTAAAACGTTTTTGAATATGCTGTTTAAATTACTCGCCAATTTATTCGTTAAGTCAAATAATGCAGCTTTTCACACCAATTTATAGTTTAGCGCGCAAAACGCAAATGATTCGTGTAGCTTTGAAAATATGCTTTAATTTTTTCTTCCATTATTTCTCCTGCAGTTTTTTGTCCGTCTGTGGTTTTACCAATTACCTGTCTATAACTCAATTCGTCTGGTGGTGAGCCAATTTATTTTTGCTCTTTTTTAGTTCATCCATTTCACCTGTAGTTGTTCTATCTTGGCTGTTTTTGCAGTCGAGGGACAGCAAATATGAGTTTTTGTACAAATCCGTATTGCGGTGAATCGAGTACGAATAGAAAATAATAAATCAAAGGTATTATTTTCTTTATGGTACATAGATTTACATACTATCATTTGGATGCTTCACTAGTTAAGTTAGACACATAAAACGAGAAAAAGAGGACAGAAAAGCTTATAGTCGGAACGTGTCACAAACAAATAAATCACTATTCTTGTCATCGCATAATATTTATGGTTAATTATGGTCAATTATAATATTTTCAAAGTTTTGTGAAATTTTGTTCGATCGATCTCAAGTTAAAGGTCTCAAAGAGACCGAGAAAAGTGAAGTAAGTTAAAGGATTTTGTAGGTTTCAAAACTTCATGAACCGGTGTTAATTTATTTAGGGCCCGTTACAAAAAATTTGGAATTTTCATTTCAAAAACACATACATTGTAAAAACAAAAACTTTTCAGCTCTTGTAGTATAAAAGATACACATTTCTTTTTAATTTCACATAAAATATTGTAAATATTATGATATCTTCAACTTATTTACTTTTAGCTCTACCTGATCAGGGTCCACCGAAAATTACTGGTGGTCGTCCACGCTACCAAGTCGGCGACTGGGTGCGCGTAAACTGTACAGTTGGCCGCTCAAAGCCTGCCGTTGATCTGTCATGGTTCGTTAATGGGGAACCAGTTGAACCGCGGACTTTGCGCAAATATCCCTCGGTCATATCTGGACGTGAAGGCTTGGAAACTTCCATCTTAGGCTTACAGTTTCGGGTTGAACAGCATCATTTTCGAAACAGCGATATGAAACTAAAGGTTGGTATATTTATAAAATATATGTATTAGTTTTAGAGTTCGTTAAAATATTTGATTGTGATCGTTCAATTTTTATGGCAGCTATATGCTATTGTTATCCGATCTGAAATTTATTTCAAAAATTGAACCTTGGAGAATAATCCACGTCGGATTTCGTGAAGATACTTTCTCAAAAAAATAGTTTTCCATACAAGGGCTTAATTTTCATCGATCAGCTTATATGTCAGCTACATGATACAGTGGTTCGATATCGACGGTTCCGAAAAACGAGCAGGTTCTTGGAGAGGAAAGGATATGTCCAAACTTTCAGATCGATATCTGAAAAACCGAGGGACTATTTTGCTTATATAGAGACTGACGGATATCGCTAAATCGATTTAGTTCGTCACACTAATCATTTATGCATATATAATACTTTAGTGGGTTTCGGACGATTTTCTTGTATCAAACTTAAAAATCCCTGTTCAGGGCATAAATTGTTGTTTTTGAGTAGTAATGAATTTGCTAAAAATCTAAGAAATAATCCAATCTTATATTTGTTTTCGACAGTGCGACGAGCAGAGTTTATTTAGCTATACGTCTATCCGTCTGTCCGCAAACTAGTATGTCTGTTTTTGAGATATCACTCTGAAATTTTTTACATGTTTTTTCTCTCCAAAAAGCAGCTCATTTGTCGGAACAGCCGATATCGGACCACCATAGCATATAGCTATCATGCAAACTGAATAACCGAAATCAAATTTTTATATTGAAACTTCTTTATTTGTGAAGGGTATTCTGTCTACGGTGTAACCAAAGTTAAGGTTTTTTCTTGTTTTATAAGGATTACATTATTTAACCTGGGAAGGAGCGTGAAACACAGGCATGTTTTTGCGAATTGTTTAATATCCTAAATTTATCTTATAAATTCGACTCAGTTTTCCTACAATACAAATATATACATAAGTATATCTATAAATTGCATATATAAAATAATGTTATCATCGTTTCCTTTCGTTTTCCATTCAAGTGCGTTGCATCGCTGTCCACCTTGTATTGGCGCAGCAACGAAGAGTCCGTCGAGGGCGATCGCCCACAAAAAGCGCCCGTCTTAGAGTCGCGCGAAACCGTTTACGCCAGCAATTCGCGCGCCGATCCAGTGCAAGGTATGTCACTCCGGGAAATATTTGTTACCAAAATCTTATCGTTTTTCATTCAACCAAATGCAGCCAGCAAAACGGACTCACACCTAGTGGCGCATGCGCCCAGTTTGTTGCTGTTGCTGCTGGTGGCGACGGCCATTGCCAGCGGCTGCCACGAACAATTGCACCTGTGGCAGCAGTTGTTCACCAAGCAGCCTACGAGGCGCCTGCATGACAATTGTAAGCAAAAGCACCAACAACAAAAACGAAAAGACATCGAACAAGGCGCGCAACAAAAAAAGGAACAAGCAACAGCGCAGCAAGAGCGGCATGAGCAGCAACAACGAAAGACAGATAAGCAATTAATGCAATGGCAGCAGCAGCAGAAACAGCTTGTAAAACGAATTGTTACCGGCGAAATCAATCAGTTGATGAGCACAGAATACCAAACTATAATGCCACTGTTCCAATACCAGCAGCAGCAGCAACAAAAAAACAACCAATACTGGCAACAACAATCAGCGGAGAATCAAGTGTGCCGACAGCATTGGCATGTTAATGAGAACAATGAAGGCGTGGTACGGAAGTGCAAAAGCGCGCCCGAATTAAAATTTGTTAATTTTTATGCGGAAATGCTTCCGGCATTGACAGCATTGACAACAACATCCGCTGCAGCGACATATGCCACTTTCGCCGTTGCTCATTGCGGCGCTGATGACGTTGCTGCGGATGCCGCCGATGTTGTCACAGCTGTCGCCGCGGCATTGCCAATTAAACGATTGCTGGCTGTGAGGTAACTGCGCTGCGCAGCGGTGAAAGAAGTGTAAGCGAAAAGAAACTCTACCATAACTGGACTGTCGTGTCGCAATGCTGCAGGATAACGAGCCATGCAACTGAACTATTGGCCAAATACAAGAACAAGCGAAAGAAGGACAAAAATGAAAAGTGTAAATTTAATTTCAATAAATTCGAAGGCCGTCAGTCGAATGGTATTACTGCCGATGACGCTTTGGATTGAACAACTACAGATGCGGCAAAAAAGTGAAAACTTCGTTTAAAACCAATTTGCTTAAATAAAATGCAGTAACTGAAAAACCAACAAATTAATTATTTAAAGCAAAAATTTTCCAAAAAAGTGAAATTACATAAATTAAAAACATAATGTGGGGGAGAATGAAATCAAAACTACAAGCTTTTGTGTTGATAGTTTAGGTGTACCTGTGTGTGTGAGTGAATGTGATATAAGTGTTTGTGGGTTCGTAAGCATGTAAGAACCATTCGAAAACAGTTAGAAACAGTGAAAATACTTACTTATAATTATGTATCTGTAAATATAAATGAAAAGGAACTACTGATATTTTAATAAATTTATTTATAATTGATGGAAAACAATTAAAATAGTTGAAATTCAATTACCATACAGTTAGAATTAGACTCAATGTCTAGTCTAAATGAACAATGAATATTTACATACTTAACATACAAATTACTGTTAAATGTAATTAGCTAGCAAAAAATAAAATTTAAACCAAAATAGAATTGTTACATTTGCTTATAGACGGTGAAGTGCACGGAGATGTCGTCTGAGGCAATAATTTCTAGGTTTTCGAGATTTTCTTAATAAAGTGTATTATTTGTTTTATATATATACATATTTTTAATTGCTTTCTAAACTTACCGAAAAGCGAAACGAACATATAACTGACTTTTCTGACTCGAGATCGCTATGTAAGCTCGCCAGCATTTTGTTAAAATCACACAAACGACGTGTCTCCGATTCTTGACAGTAGCGGCAATCGAAAGCAATGATCGGTGGTAATCGCTTTCGTTCTAACATTTATACTTCGTACTAACCTTGTGAAAACATATCTTATTTGTGTATTGCCTAGTTCCAGGCAGTACAAAGACTTGTTATTATTTTAAAGAACACTTCCTTTTGATAAAAGTTCGATTTTATTACCCAACATACCATATTAGGTATCGAGGATGACACATGATGATTATAGAAATCAACTTTTCTTAATTCGTTTCAAATTCACGCTAAGTTTCCTTCCAATAACGTCAGGTGTGAGGACAGGAAAAAGTGATTGGGAGCCAGATTTACAAAGTCTAATGTTATATATGGTAAATTATTTCGAGTTTCATAGAAGCTCTTTTAAATTCTTTTTGTAACACGTGATGTCCACCTCCTTTGAAGATAGTTATTAGTATAATTTTCACTAAAGTGTCTTGCAATATTCGGGCCGAGTTTTGAGTTTTGAGATTTTACATTTTTATTTTAACGTATATTAATAATTATGAACTAAGAAAAATATTTAAAACACAGCAACTTCAATATCCTTGCATATACTGCACTATAATCTCCTCTATACATAACACTTACATTTTTGACCAAATGGTTGTCTCTTGTGCGCTGACATAAATAATTATCGGTATACATTAACGATATTTGTTTAAAATTCTTTAAAAGATCCCATAGTTATCCATTGAGTACCACCGGAATAGTGATTGATGTGTATTTGTATCAATCTCAAATATTTAAGGTCAGCCCCATAAACTGCAAAAAAATTATTTCAACCTCAGCTTGCTTTCAAGGGCCGCATATATTGCAGTAAATTAAAGGAGAACATATTTATTTATTTTAAAGTCTTTTATTTTCCTCTTAATACCGAAAAAGCATTATATTTACCTTCGTTAATTGATTCTGTCTACTTTTTTCCCAAACTTAGCAAGATAACACGAAAGTTTTTAAAAATCTGTTTACTCGAGATCGATGACATTTCAGTTGCACTTTGTGAAATTCTTGGAAATTTTAAAAACGACATTTTTGTAAATATATAATTAGTTATATTTTATTATATATGACAGTATATCATTTTTCATACAAAAGCGTATACTTAGTATATGTGTATATGTATAGCTAATAAGAAATTGATTACAATTTAGTATTAGTGTTAAAAAATCAAAATCAAACTCCATTACTGTTGACTAATGAAAGAAAGTCTTAAACTTCAACACAAACATATCGAACATTTTATGAATTGCCAAAGTTTTTACTAATATAAATATGCTGATAGTGAGTATAATTACGAAAATGATATTGGGTAGTGTAACAAAAATTTTTTTGCCACATAACAATGTAGTGAATAATACATATATTTTTGGATAAAAAGTTTATTTTTAAAATTTTCTTATGTATTTGTGAAGAAATCTATATCAAAATTGAACTTTGTAGATGCTTTGTGTATTCTATGCAATTATTTGACTCAAGTAAGAAACTACTTTCATAATTTGATAAGCAAGTTTTCTTTACACCAATAAAACATTCCAGGATATTTGCCAAATCAACAGTGATAAGTAATATTACACACAAGCCAACACAAGCATGCATATACAGCATATAAGAAATAAACTATATAACAGGCAGAAAAAATTAAAAATAAATCAATAAAGAATACTAATTTGTAATTTTTTCATGCAGCCAATCAAATCAACAGTGGTGCTCACTTATGCCATGCGCCTAAGACACTTCTCTTTGTAAATTTCTTACAAGACCAACAACAAGAGTAATATTGTGTGGTCTTTTAGTTAAAGCAAAAATGAAATGTTGTATCTAACTCATTTTAACTGTAAATATAAGTTTTGTAATTTAACTTAAATTTCATACTTAACAAATTTTAAATAACATACAGACTAATATACATGCAAACATGATATATATGTACATGTATTTACACGAATACATAAACATTAGTTAGTAGAAGGTAGAGTGTTGTAAATACGCAATTGAGGCGTGGCAATATAAAAATTTGTAACCTGCTCCGTAGGGGAGTTTTAATCGGGATAAATAAATAATTAACATGAAATGAAAATCCAAATGTGCGCCAATCTAACCAAAAATTACTTCTAAGTACTCGTACAGTCCAAATTTTCTATTTATAAGCCAATACATGTCAAAGGAATAAGGAAACAAAAATCAAAATTTCAGATATCTTTGAAAAATTTAACTAATATGTCCGAGCTCAATTAAGCGCTAAACCAAATATTAAAAATAAAAAACAACAACAACAAGCATATACATAAAATGTGTTTTGAATATAATTAAATTCCTAAGTATTCGTAACTGTAAAATAAATATTGTGTATTTACTTGCAAACTTAACAAATTAAATTAACAATGCCATAACTATATAAAGTAATAATAAAAATCTTAAAAACTAATTAAAATGTATTATATGTAGTTAAGTGCGATAATTGATATATTGTAAATATTTGTCATTACGACTACTGTAATTCAATGTATGAGCAGGAAATGTGAAAACAAAAGAATTATTAAGTCAAATGTAAATTAAATAATAAATATTTGTTTGACGAACGACCGACACGACTTTTATTTATTTAACTAAATTGATAGGAAATGGTAAGATGACGTTAAAGATTCTCAAAACACTATGCAAGAAACGTTTGTAGAGCTAACAATCCGGCCAAAATAGACATTCAAGGTTACATAAATTTACAACACAACATTGTAAAACTCTTGTCAGCATAGCCGCGAATTGTATTATTCTTATTGTATACGATTCTATCGTTATGCCATTTACGGAGCTTGGGTTTGCCAGCACGCAAATTCCCGTATTTATTTAACACTCATTTCTACATTTCTTCGACATTTATTAAATGAAAACTTATACAAACACTTATAAAGCTGTGAAATTTGAGAGATTTGATGATTTTTTCGATCGCCCGACTTTTACAAGATCCAAATGTAAAAAGGCCACTCTAGCTTCTTGATACGGCTTTGAACCTTACCATCCATGTTAAAACCTAAAGTTCGGCTTATAAAGAGCTGACCTCTTCTCTATTTCCTCTACTTTAAAATCTGCATAGTGCAGCGCGGATTCACTCGCTAGATAGAGAATGCATTGCCTTTGACTGAATGTCACCACAGCTTTATTCTTTATTCAAATAAATATGTTTTAATATGTATAGATAATAGAACGTTGAATATTTTGTTAATGCCATAAATTTTGTGACAAATCTATAAGCTTATGTTATCAGTCTAATTGGCTTGACATTCCTCTGGCTCTACCTAATTGTATCGGGAGCTTAATTCATCTGTATGAATATAAATTATTCGTATGCATGTATGTGAGTAAAAAATTATTTCACACAAATAAAGGAATAAAGCCGACTACGATACAGGTAAATACTTGTAGTGTGTGGTGGAACATAATCCTATTTTATTAATAGTCCACCAAAGCTATGTAATTCCCCAAAGTAGCAATCTACTCACACTTTGGTGAATACCTAAGAAACATGACCGTCGAAATCCTAACAAATTTCACTATGCGACAGCACAATGACAGAAATTTATTGGTCTTAATACTTTAAATGGGATCAAGTGGAAAAACGGCTAGCAAAACTGCACACAAAATAAGTATGTATGTATGCACATAGTTATATAATGTCATAGGCCACTAATGGACGGTTGGTTTGGTTTGGCATAAAACAAAAACACATGCCACACACATTCTCACTCACATAGATACGCACAGTGCAACCAAGAAGCAACGCTGAATCACAAGCTCAAGGTGGCAATGTGGTTACAATCAGGAGCGTAGTGTATGTTTGTGAGTGCAGTTAAGTAGCAGTAGTTAGGTGCTAAGCTGGTCAGCTGAGTATCTTAAGAAGTAGCGCTCAGCAGTTCAGCTGGTATATTACAGCTGCACATTCGCAAATACGTACTTGTGTATATAAAAGGTGGTCGTTACTCTTGAATCGTGTATAGGCTTAGTCAGACTTCAAATATGGCATAAATCACATTTGTCACTTCGGCCAAACTTAGTAGTTATATGCGGGTAGAAAAAGAAATATGTATATAATTGTGTAAATATAGTTCCGATGTCTTACATAGAGCACAATGCCGCTGACAGAAATCAACAACTGGCTGTCCTTTATGTACCATGAGCCCTAATTGGATCATTAATTTGTTTTTGTATTTCCGTAACACATTATCACACGCACGATTTCCGTAAATTTTATGTTATGTTAATTAAGCAATTGTGTTACTAAATATGGTATTTGTATTATTAATTAAACATTCAGTAGCACATCAGTAACAACAATTTCAATTTATATATAATTTCAAACATTTACACTTATTAGTGGAAATAGTTCAGGCAACAAGCTGTTTAAGATATCAGTAGAAGTCCAAATGTAGATTATTCACGCTCCTTATTCGATTTTAATTGAAATATCTTAAACCAAAAAATATATGCTATTTTAACTCAATATATTTATATATAAAAGTACCTTTATTCCGTCAGTTTCTTCCACCAGTCTACTGTAGTGCAGTGTTAGTTTATACACTCCACATCTTATCATTATTCAATATAGAAAATTAAGCTAAATTTTTTCCTTTTTCCCATGATCTTCCAATATTGGAGAAATCTTCATCCATACTTAATAACCTGAACGGGGTATATTGTTTGCCATGAGGTTTGTAACATTCAGAAGCAAATGTTGGAGACCCTATAAAATACATGTACATTGAAAAACTAAATAAAAATAGTTCTAAATTGAAAAAAATTATTTGTAAATAAAAATGTACCTTTATTTGTTGGGAAAAAACCGAACAAATTCAACGTACATCTTAATGGAAAGCTGAGAAAAATTCTAAAAAATAAGCCGGCTAGTTATTTTAAAGGTACTTTTTAGGTAGAAATTTTGAAAATTCATAACTAAAAACTTTTTCATATCGAGTCGAAATAAAAAAGTACATGTCCAATATTTTGCATCAAAGAACAAAAAAAAATGTTTTGTACGAAAAATATTTTTGAATGTAAATTTTCGACGAAATGACCCATATATGGTGTATATGTGTGTCTGTTATGTTCATGTTTATGTATCATGTTTTCTGATTTTTTTAAAATGAAAGTTAAGACTTAGAAATAAACGAGAGCAAATCCATAGCATATAACTGCCATATTAACTGAGCGATCGGAATAAAAGGCTTGCATTGAAAAATTATTTATTTGACGAGGAATCTTTACGAAATTAGTTTGGAATCAAGTTTTTGTAAGAAAACTTTGTACTTCTGAAGTGCAAACGAAATTAACGTTTTTTCTTGTTTTTATTTAATTTCTTCTATACTTCTGGAAAAACAGTCATTACTTAGCATGAGAGCAAACAGTTATAATATTATTTAGTATTTGTTTTATTGTGTCGTTATTTGGTATATGTACCTTTTTCTCCTCTCTTTTTTATTTCATTACGAATTTAATTCAATCAGTTGTGTATTTATGAAGAAAGTAGGCAAAAAAACTTTGTCATTGGTTTTCCTTAGATACCGTAAATATGACAAAAAAAAATTCTGGTAAAGTTTGAGCTCTAAATATTATTATTAACAGATTCCCCGTATAAATAACACAGGAATATTTTTTTACATTGTTTGGTTGCATAATGCATTATACCTATAGTGAAAACGAAAACTTATTCTGATAGCGAATCTAACGATCTACTTATACAACTAAGTAAGAAAATGATGTTTTTGCTAAGCCGACTCGGTCAAAAGCTATTCGGGGAAAAGTGCTACCTTAAAGCGTAAAGGATAATTTTTACAATTTTTTACATTACTTTACGAAATAATGTCTCAACATCATACATTTTTCATGATTTTTACTGTTTTTATACTCTTGTAGCATGTTGCCATAGAGTATAATAGTTTTGTTCACCTAACGGTTTTTTGTATCACCGAAAACTTATGGAGATAGATATAGAGTTATATATGTATATGAAAATCAGAATGCCGAGACGAATTGAAGTTCGGGTGAGTGTCTGTCCGTCTGTCTGTCCATGCAAGCTGTAACTTAAGTAAAAATTGAGATATTGTAACAAAACTTGGTACACGTATTTCCTAGTGAAAAAGTAAGCACAGTTTCGTAGATGAGCCTACAAAACGCCATTAAACAAAAACTATTATAATAAAGTGTCATAATTTAGCACTATTTATTTTTGATTTATTTATTAAAGGAAATACAATTATAAATAATTATACTACCTATAAAATATAACAGCACTAGCGACAAGGCATTCAGCTGAGGGCTTAATTTTACTTGTACTTTTTTGTATGAGATTTAATAACTTAATTATTATTAAATACTTAAATAGTAATGTCTATGCTTATGCTTAGAATTAAGGGGTAGCAATATATGTTAGTATAGGAAAATTGTGGTAAAATTTTGACAGACCTTGAGGAGTTTCGATGGAGAAGACTCGACATAGTCTCGTCGTATATACAATACTTAGGTTCTATATGTATTCTACAGAATTTTTTGCGGTCCAGAATATGTTGGTGCGTTAAGATGGTGTGTCCTAAACGGAGTCGTGTAAAAATTTTGATCTCCTGGATGCTGCATGTAGAGGGGTATACTGCTTTTCTTTGTTCGGGATTAACGGCCGGTAACGGTTGTCGTAAGTATACCAAGCCGCTTTAACTTTAAGCTTTGAGAAATTTTCAACGAATCGCAGAATGTCGTTGCTTTCATTAGTTCTCATGTAAATACATATACTACAATAAGAGTGGCGTTTTTTGCTTCTTTATCAGCGAGTTCGTTGCCTGGAATGCCACAGTGTCCTGGAATCCACATTACTTTAATTTTATTTCGGCTATTAATCAATTTGTCCCGGATTTCTCTGATTAGAGCGCTGCTGTTGAATATATTTCGAATAGCTGTGACTGTTGCAAGGCTGTCGGTACAGATAACATATTTACCTTTGGAAGACGTGATCCATTGGATAGCTTCTTTTATTGCGTATGCTTCTGCGGTAAAAAGAGAAGATGGTGGTAAAAGTAATGCATTTTTATTGATTTCCGAGTTCTCGGAAACCACTGCATATGCGGTGTTGTGGGGATTTTTGACCCATCAGGGTAAATAAATTTCCATCCTTCTGAATAGAGATCTGTCTTGCGCTGCATAAGCTGTTGTTTATACACCTCATAGTTAGTGGAGGCTTTGTTCCAGGTCATCAGTTTGCCTTCTATAACAGAAGAGTATAGAGCCCATGGAGGATGTTTGCTAATCTTCGAACGTTTGGGTGAAAGGTGAATATAAAGTTCATCAACGTACTTTAGAATTAGGTGTATTGTGATGGGATGGGAACTTGGATGTTCGTTTTTTATGGGTGGCCGAACGTATGTCGTTAAGCAAATTCGGGTTAGAGCCTAGATATACCTTTGGTATCAGTCGTAATGTGTAAATCTCCAATCTTACGTTAATGTGTGACATTCCGGATTCAGCGAGAATACTTTTGGTGTTTGAAGTTGGGAATGTCTTAAGGCTACGTCTTTTGCCATGTGATAAGGCGCATAGAGTTTCTTT